TCTTCCGGATCTTGAAGAGGAACACCGGACTTGGCAGAGAGTGTTGTCGTCGAGGCTAAAGGCGTCGGGACTGATTTAGCGTCACTCATTTTGTGACGAGATAGTAGTTCCTTGATGTAACGTTGTTGAGTTAAACGTACACTACAGTTTGTCCTCATGACCTCAATACCTAGAAAAAAAGAGAGCTTGCCAAGATCCTTTAGTGAAAAACGATGAACCTTTGAACCTCGTTGGGATGATTTCCGGTGATCACGATATCGTCAACATAGACGATCAAGTAGATGATGATGCCTTGTTGCCGAAAAATGAATAGGGACGAGTCGGATAATTAGTTCACAAATTCAGAATTCTTGAGAAAGGTGCAAAGTTCGGTGTACCAAGCTCTTGGAACTTGTTTTAAGCCATAGATTGCTTTCCGAGGTTTGCAGTTGGTCTATCACGGTCGATAAATCCCGGTGGCTGTACCATGTAAACATCCTCATGTAAAGTGCCTTGTAAGAAGGCATTATTAACATCGATTTGACGAAGATCCCATCCATTATTCACCGCAAGACTGATGATTACTCGGATTGTAGCCGGCTTGATGACATGACTATATGTTTTCATGTAATCTAAATCGGGGCATTGATGAAATCCTTTAGCGACGAAGCGAGCCTTGTACCCGTGAAGAGAACCATTAGATAGTCTCTTAATACGGAAAACCCATTTGCAACCCACCAAATTGTATGAAGAGTCCGATGGAACAAGAGACCAAGTTCCATTATGAATCAAGGCATTGAATTCTTCGGTCATGGTTTGTCTCCTTTAGGATCTTTTAGTGCTTGCGAGGCACACGATGGTTCCATGTCTTGGTTTGGTGAGAGGTGAGTAACAAGGCTGAGTTTGGTCGAGGGCTTGGCAATATTGTTTTTGGATCTCGTAGTCATGGGGTGAATGTTTCGTGGTGGAGAAGGTAGCGAAGGAGATGTGTTCGAGGAGGTTGATGATAGGCTCGGGTTGGTGTTTGGTGGTGGATTCGGGTTCAGTGGTGGAGTGAGAGAGCTTTCATGTGGTTGTGGTTGCTGTGAAGAGGAAGTCGATGTTTGCGTTGGTGTTGGATCGCATAGCGGTGGCAACACTGGTTGAGGTGACCATGTGTGTAAATGGGAACTCAGTTTCAACAAAGTCGACATGGCGGGAGACATAAAGACGAGAGGATGAAACTTCTAGACAAAGAAATGCACTTTGTGTGAGTGAATAACCCATAAACACACATGGAGTAGATCTAGGTTCTAATTTGTGTTTGGTGAAGGTCTAATCCAAGGAAAACATAGACAACCGAAGGCTCTAAGTTTAGAGTAGTTTGGATGGGAGCCAAGGAGATGATAATACGGAGAGTTGTTGCCGAGAACCGAAATTGGCATTCGGTTGATTAAATCAACTGAAGTGGGGATTGCAAAAGTCCAATAGGTGATATGAATGGACGCATGAGATAGTAATGTGAGGGTTGTCTCTACGATATGTCTATGCTTTCGCTTAGAAATCCCATTATGCTTGGGAGTGTGTGGTGGTGTGGTGAAGTGAGATATGCCATGAGAGGATAGGAAGTGTTTAAGTGCAATGTACTCTCTCCATTATCCGAGTAGAGGGAGATGATTTTGGTTTGGAATCGGTTTTCGACTAGGGCTTTGAACTTGACAAATACTTAAGGGACGTCGAATTTCTTTCTGAGAGGGTAGAGCCACGTATATCGTGTATGATGATCAACAAATATAATGTAATATTTGAAACCATCAAATGACAATACGGGAGACGTCCATACATCGGAAAACAAGATTTCGAGTGGCCGAGAAGAAGATAAAGTCGAGTTTGAGAAAGAGTGACGGCCCATATTCTTTTATGTTGAGCCTTTGAAGAGTGCAGCCTTAAACTAAAGAGGGGACGGAGGAAAAAACCCTAATTTTGCATTGCCATAAGCCTCTCTGCTCTGTTTATCTATATTTATGTTCGTTTCAATCCCGTCGTCTTCTCGAAATTCGAAGGCCTTTCTGAAAGATTTGCTGTTTTTTCTCTGTTCGTAATTCATCTTCAAAATTTTTGGTTTGTGAAAACAAAGTTTTTTTTTTCAATTTATTTTTATTGAGATTTAGGGAATGCGGTGATGAACAAATGGAAATGTGGACTAGAGTTTCAGATCTGGGTTTCTTCCCCAGAAGTTGAAGACCAAACCCTTGGCTGTCTGAGCATTCCCCCTTGTCTTAAAAAAATATATTTTTTTATTTTTATTAGAGAAGGTAAGGTCGTCTTGGGCCTGTGATGATAGAACAATAATCTTAGCGGATTTCAGTGAGATTTCCAATCGATGATCTGAATTTTTTGTTACACACACTGAGGCTGTGAATTTCTCCATTTATTTTTAAAAATTTTTCAATATATATATTTTTGTATGGAATCATATTATGAGCGTCCATTACCAATATAAAGAGTGTTTGTGACTTTTATTAATAAAGCATGAATCACAAGACAACGATAGACTCGATCTAGATGACATAGGGAGAGAAAAACTTGACACGATTTTATTAAGAATGTCGCTTGAGGGATGACCTAAGCGGTGGTGCCATTGAAAAAGGGATGTTTTGACCGTGGGAAAAGCTCGACGAAGGATAGACAGAGTTGACGTGTTGGGTAAGGAAGACCATTCGTACACACCATGGTTAGACCGCCCTCGAACCATTGTTGCTCCGGTTGTGCGATCCTTCACCTGAAAATGATCGGAGAAAAATTCAACCGAGACTTCGTTAGTGGAACAAAGTTGATTAACTTTGATGGATATGAGGTTTTTATGAATATTGGGAACATGAAGAACATGGTTTAAAGTGAAGTTTCGAGAGGAGGAGGGTAAAGACATAGAACCAGTGTGTACGATCGTGAGCACTGTACCATCACCGATTACCACTTCATCACCTCCATTGTAGGGTTCATGAAGAGATAGGTTATGGAGATCGGTGGTGATATGATGAGAAGCCTCGTAATCAAGAAGCCAAGGAGAATTCGACGGAGTGATGGTTGCATGGTTTGCCATCGGTTGCCAGGAGTTGTTGTTACGAGAAGTCGGTGGTGATATTGCATTTGGAAATCCAACAGATGATTGGAGACGACGGTAGTAGCGCACATTGTGCCCCTGAATGCCACAAATCTGGCACCTCCTTGGTAGCCTCGTGGAGGGTTGATCGATGATCGAGAGGGACGTGCTTCCTGAGAGGTTGGCCGAGGATTGTGTCGCCATGATGATCGAGGTTTGTTCTGCACAACATTTGCAGTGACTAGAGCTTCGGTGTTCTCAAGAGATGGTGTGAGGATATCAACTTCAACACTGATGAGTTTCTCGTGTAATTCAACAAAGGAGATTGTAGTATCCTTTGATTGAACAACATCTTTAATGGACTTGTATTCGTCTCCAAGGCCAGCAAGAATCAAGTCGAGAAGATCTTCATTGTCCGTCGATTTGCCAAGGAGGGCAAGTTCATCACTTTTGACTTTGTAGAAATGCATGTACTCATCGATAGATTTCATCCCTTTGTGTGTCGACGAAGCTGTTCTTTGATTTGCTTGATGTGGTCTCGGCTAGAACGACCATACGTCGTTGCAAGGATGACCCATGCATCACCAGAAGAAGAAGCCGAGGCTATTAAAGCTTGACAGGATCCAAAGACAGATCCAAGCAGTGCCGAGAAGACAAGCCTGTCTTGCCGAAACCAAGGAGTGTATGCAGGGTTTGGAGCCGACACATTGTTGGTGGTGGTGGTTGGCGATGGGGCAGAGGTAGGGTCGAGAAAACTGTCGAGGTTGTAACCTTGGAGAAGAGCCCGAATTTGAACACTCCAAGTGATATAGTTCAATGTCAGTAAGCTTGGAGACATTTGAGATGTTCACGTTTATCAACGTGTTTTGGGGATTGACACTGTCAAATGGTGTGATGTTCTCGTTCGTCGAAGCATTGGAGGAATTATTTTCAGTCGCCATTGAAAGGGGCTAGGTCGAAGAAGGGATATAGGAGGCCGAAAAAAAAATTAGAGTCGTGTGACGACAAGCACTTGATAGCACGAAAGGGAATCAGTTTGTTATAATCTACAGATTATAAGTAATTATATAGATATGATACAACCGAATATTTTAATTGATTGAGTCAATGATTTCCTTCCTTTACTTAACATCTGAATCTTAACTACTTGAACCGATATCAACATCGTATCTGATTTACCCACTAGTTACCGACCACAACGATAAACAAGTATCTGGATTTCCCGAAGAAAACTTGCGAAGAGGAAAAAACAAAAGTTACGACGAAACAAACAAAAAATACCCGAGCGGTGACCGTCGAAGAAGAAGATCGACGGCGAGCGGACAAAATGGCACACCCAGAGAATCTGAACTCATTATATGGGCCTAATGGGCTGGGCCCGAAAGCCCAGTAAGGTCCGAATTATGATAAAAGCCCACTGAAGAAGGTTGACAGTATCAGTGCCTAACCAAATAACCAAATCAAATAACATTATCCTAATCAGCCGGATTTATATAAAAAATATATTTTTTTTAAAAACGAATACTAATCGAACAAAAATAATCAAGAAAATCTGAAAATAAATAAAATCGAATTAGGATAGAGTTTAATATAAAAACGCAATAATTATAACTTTTTAAAATCAAAATAATCAAATCGAAACATAAACGAACCATATCAAAATACTCTTAGGGGTATCCAAAATTCTTTGATGTGGACTGTAGTTGTAAATAAATTACGATTTTTTTAAGTTGAAAGTTGAAAATCAGAGGTCTCGTTGAGTCAAAGCTTAATGTGTGGTGACACTATATTTCGCCACGTGACGTCTGAGGTGTCACGGAACAGTCCACGACGACAAAAAAAAAACCCACGAAGCCTATCACCTCGTACACATCCACAGTGTACATAAACTCGAACCCCAAAAAAAAAAAAAAAAAAAAAAAAAAAGGAAGACATGAAAATGGAATTTCCAGGAGCCGGCCATCTCCCATCAGCGGTGGAGCTGGCGAAGCTCCTCGTTGACCGCGACCACCGTCTGTCAGTAACCGTCGTTATCATCCCTTCATTATACGGCGACAACACCTCTTCTTCCTACATCTCCGCCGCGTCTGATGACCGTCTCCGGTATGACGTCATCTCCGTCGACGACCAGCCAACCTCCGTTCCCATGTACAATTTGTTCACCTTCATCGAGAACCAGAAGCCAAAGGTGAAAGCTGCGTTGGCCAAACTCGCTGGCCCGACTCGGCCCGGTTCGGGGCCTCGACTCGCCGGCGTCGTCATGGACATGTTCTGTATGCCGATGATCGACGTCGCGAACGAACTCTGCGTCCCGAGTTACGTCTTCTACACCTCGAACGCTGGGGTTCTCGGGCTGTGCTTCCACGTTCAGCGTCTCTACGACGAGAGCGAATACGACGTCGATGAGTTCAGAGACTCGGATACCGAGTTGGACGTGCCGAGTCTAACTCGTCCTTTCCCGGCTAAGTGTTTCCCTTCGGCGATGTTAAACGATCGCTATCTCCCGCTTATGTTGGGACAAATCAGAAGATTCCGAGAAACGAAGGGTATTTTGGTAAATACGTTTGAAGAGCTCGAGCCCCAAGCGCTGAGATTCCTCGCCGGCGGCGAGACTCCTCCGGCATATGCTGTGGGACCACTCTTAGACCTAAAATACGACAGCCTAGAATCCGGCGGCGAGAAGAAAGCGGAGATCCTACGGTGGCTCGATTCGCAACCGCCCAGATCTGTGGTGTTCCTCTGCTTCGGGAGCATGGGAGGCTTCGGTGAGGATCAAGCCAGAGAAATAGCCGTCGCGCTCGAGCGAAGCGGCCACCGATACCTCTGGTCCCTCCGCCGCGCGCCGCCGAAGGGGACGATGGGACCTACCGGAGATTTCACGAACCTCGACGAGATTCTGCCGGAGGGATTCCTGGATCGGACGTCGGCGATCGGGAAGATAATCGGATGGGCTCCACAGACGGAGGTGCTAGCGAATCCGGCGATCGGAGGGTTCGTATCGCACTGCGGATGGAACTCGATACTCGAGAGCCTCTGGTTCGGCGTCCCGACCGCGACGTGGCCGCTCTACGCGGAGCAACAGTTCAACGCGTTCGAGATGGTGGAGGAACTGCGTTTGGCGGTGGAGATCAGGATGAGCTTCCGGGGAGATTTCATGGCAGCGGAGGCGGATGTCATGACGGCGGAGGAGATCGAGAGAGGGATCAGGTGTTTGATGGCGCAGGATAGTGACGTGAGGAGGAAGGTAAAGGAAGTTAGCGATAGGTGCCACGTGGCGATTATGGACGGTGGATCTTCGCACGCTGCACTTGGGAAGTTCATTCGAGATGCGGAGGAGAATCTATCTTAGACTGTTACGTTACATAGTATCTTTTAGTATATGGATATCCGCTATTGGGATTTTCTTTAGTATGATTTATATTTTCTGAGAAATATAATAATATTAAAAAAGGTACCCAAAAATTTTAAAAGTTCTCCTACAAAACATTATCATAAGTTTTCAGGCAGAATTTTTTTTTTCTTCATGAAATTATGTTTCGTTCAAACAGGATGGGATTTGGTTGTCACATGGGGTTTTATCAATTGTTCGAATATTTATATTCGTTTGAATCTGAGTTATTCAACCATATCTTTTCAATTTATATTTGGAAATGAATTTAGATGCAATTATGTATCGCTATTTTTGAATCTGTTAAGTTTTTTAAATGACCGCATATCTAACAATCTGATATTGTTTTTTTTTTTCAAATTTTTTCTCACAATTTTTGTAAAAAATATTGGTATATTTTCCCTAGATAAATAATGGTAATGGGCCGATATCAAATCTAGTTACAATGGATAAATTTAATGGCCCAACGTAATCAAAATACGGCCCATATTCTTTTATGTTGAGCCTTTGAAGAGTGCAGCCTTAAACTAAAGAGGGGACGGAGGAAAAAACCCTAATTTTGCATTGCCATAAGCCTCTCTGCTCTGTTTATCTATATTTATGTTCGTTTCAATCCCGTCGTCTTCTCGAAATTCGAAGGCCTTTCTGAAAGATTTGCTGTTTTTTCTCTGTTCGTAATTCATCTTCAAAATTTTTGGTTTGTGAAAACAAAGTTTTTTTTTTCAATTTATTTTTATTGAGATTTAGGGAATGCGGTGATGAACAAATGGAAATGTGGACTAGAGTTTCAGATCTGGGTTTCTTCCCCAGAAGTTGAAGACCAAACCCTTGGCTGTCTGAGCATTCCCCCTTGTCTTAAAAAAATATATTTTTTTATTTTTATTAGAGAAGGTAAGGTCGTCTTGGGCCTGTGATGATAGAACAATAATCTTAGCGGATTTCAGTGAGATTTCCAATCGATGATCTGAATTTTTTGTTACACACACTGAGGCTGTGAATTTCTCCATTTATTTTTAAAAATTTTTCAATATATATATTTTTGTATGGAATCATATTATGAGCGTCCATTACCAATATATATATATATATATACATACAAAAATATAAAATGTATATCCTGATCTTCTGGATTTTTTCTTGATGCCATTTGATCCTGGAAACGCCCCATACACTTTTTTTTTTCTTTGAATCTTTGAAATCATATTAAAGTTTTGAATATAATCGACTGAATAAGGTGGATTATTGAATAGAGAATTCTGTACGAATTGGATTCTGGATCTGAATGTGATGGAGAACGACTGACTGGCAATTCCTGTCGCAATGTTCTTGCAATCGCTGAAGTTTGCGAACCGAACCGGAAAACAATCACCCGAAGAACCGAAATTTACGTAAAAACCGAATAGTTGTAATTTTGTTATAATCGAAATAACCGAACCCGAATACATTTAGTTTCCAACTGAAATCTAAGGCTTTGAATGGAGATGACTTTTATTTTAGCTTTTGGTTTTTCATTGATTTTTTCATTAAAATGGCTTTTTCCAAGTTTTTAGTAAAAGTAATTTTATAAAAACTGTTTTTTTTTGTTTTTAGGTTCTACAAATTCTAAAAACTCCTACCATTCAAAACTTAAAATAGTCACTCTAATATCCTTCTTATTTGTAAAAGACAATGACAAATGTAGAGTATCCTCGATCCCTGCAATATTTTCAGAATTTGACCAAATTTATTGAAATTTGCAGTATTTATTCAACTATATAACAAGGGTCATTCATGTATGACATTCATAAACGATCTCCCAAATAAAAATTCAAACTTTACATATACACATCACAATGATGTTACTACACATTTTCTGATTGAAAACAAGTTGAAAACTCAAAGTTTTATGAAAAAAAAAACATCGATAAAACAATCCTGCATGAGTTCGTGGTTTGAAAATCTTCACCATTTCTGAAATCAAAGGCAGCTGGATCTATATATACACACACGCTGAGAAACCAAAGAGAATCTTGATACGACGCCGTTTTCATTGTTCGAAGGCTGAGGGCAAAATGGTCAAATACCTTAGGGCCCTTTTTTCTTCTTTTTATCGGCTCCAAAAAAAAAAAATATTCGAGGAGAATCGAAAAAAATATAAATGTCAAGGCTCGCTCCCTAGAGATATCGCGTTCGTTCGGCTTGCCTTCGTCTTGTGCCGTTTGGTTCCCGAGAAAACGCAGGAAAATGAAGTGATAGAGAAGACGGGTCTGAAGAAATTTTCTGGTTCCACGAGGTTCGTTTTCGATGTTTCCGAGGTTTTTTTTTTAGTGAATGAGAATCTTCGGAAACCCTCTCTTTTCGTTGCGTACTTTGCTAGCGATTTCTCTCGTTCATGGGCATCTAGATGATTTTCTTTTTTTGCTTGTTTGGAAGTCAAAACGATTGAACTTCCGAGAGGTATTTTGTGATTCGTTCCTGTGTATCAGTGATTGGAACGAAAAACTGGTTTGTCTATTTTGATGGAGAAGGTTTGAATTTCGATCTGGTGAACTATCTGGAACCATTTGCATCGGTTAATAATGTCTGGGAGGAGTATGTACAAGACGAAGCTATGCATACTTTACCAGAAGAGAGGTCAATGTTCGCGGCCGAATTGCACGTTTGCTCATGGATCTGCCGAGCTCAGGCGGCCTGGGGATTCTTCATTTTCAGGTAATTTTCCTTCAAATTTGGTTGAAGCTTTGGAATCATGGAAGGACCCATGCCTTGTAGAGCTTGTTTGACAGTGTCAAAAGTCATGAATTTTGGATTAGTAGGATGGGTTTCACTTCCTTTTATTGAGCATGTGATTCGTGTATATGTTTAATCTTCTGCTTCTTCATCTTAGTTTTGGTTTGTATTGTTGATGTTCATACGTTTTCTTTGGGCTTGGCCATGTCTGTGTAGATTACTGGCTGATTAACTAACTGATTCAGTGGAATTATCCGGCTGTATGGCTGTTCCATTTGCAGAAAATTATCAACTGAACAGGCTTAGTATATTTTTTCGCTGGAGTGGGCTCTGCTGGTCTTTCATGCTGAACTTTATATTGGTTTTCTTAATGCTCACATGAAAGCACATTCTTTTTGAAGAAAATCAATCGTGGGTTTTGTTTTACGGGCTATTTATTCTTCCTCGTTCATCCATGGCACTCAGACTCCAAGTTTTGGCGACTTATCAATGTCCGTTATTATAAACTCTGCGAGTTACATGCTGCCATTTTTGCGCATGGAGCTTATGGTATCTCTGTCATTATATATCTTCCGCGAGAGAGGGGTTTTTTTGGATCAAGAAAGATGCAGTTCATCTGGTGTTTCCGTTGGAAGAAATTGAACTTCAGTTTTTGGTGGATTATGATTATGTTATTAAGTGGCTCTTGAAGATTGCATGTTGTTATCTCTCATCCAACCTGATGCTGAAGCTCTGGAAACTTTTATTTATCGATGAGATACGGTGACTTATCACTTATTTAAAGCTCAAACGTGGTTTTTCTCCAACTGCTGGTAAGAAGAGGACATTAGTTATGATCCCATTGAACTGGAAATGCACCATAACTTTGATTGTGCCCCCATACCTTTCAATCGGCATGATTTTGATTGTTTGAAATCAGATTTGTATCTATTCCCCTGTCTCCTTTACTGAAATGTCTATTTTCTTTTGCTGCAGCTAGACGGAACAATCTTGATAATGACTTGAGGGATAAACTCGATAGACGTTTTTCTCTGGAGAGGAGACATTCTTCTGGGAGAAACGGAAGAGGGCTACCAAGATTTAGTGGTAAAACCTGCACCTTATATTTAATTTGACTCGCCCACCCCCCCAATTTCTGCATTGGTTGCTGATTAGGTTTTGTTTACATGCTTCTTTTCCTTGTTTTTCGATCCTTTCTCATTTTGACTTTGCTGCTTTTGAATTCTATGCATGGTCAATTACACAACTGGGTTTATCTGTAATTCTCTCTGTTTTTCTTCCTTTCTTAAGATTATGTGATTCAAAATTGCAGGACATGATGATAACAGGCCTTTTGAGAAGCGAAGGTATTCTTGCCTCAAGTTTCTCTCTTGGTTCTATTTTCTCTGTTGTAAAAATGGGGCTTTAATATCTGTTGCTACAGGGATAAAGACTACAGGGAGAACCAGAAATTGGATGATCAAGGTGACTATGCTGGAGGTTTGAGAGCTGGAAATAGGATTGATGACCAGGCAGAAGATGAAAGAAATAAGTTTCCTGGCTATAATAATGTTCTAGAGGAGCAGGTTTGAAAAGTTTATTTGCAAGATCGGGTTTCCGTTGAGGAAGTAGTTCTATTTTTTTTCAGTAAATTTTACTCTCTCTCTCTCTCTCTCTCTCTCTTACCCTGTGCAGTTAAAGGAAGTAGAGCTGGATATTAAGATGCTTAGCAGCGACAAACTACGAATTGGGGTGAACTTTTATTTTCCAATAGATCATTTGATTGTGTTTTGCTCACTAAGCTAAATCAGCGTTATCTGAGGATGGGTGCATGTTTTATTCCAAAGGCTTCCATTGAAGAGAAGGCCCAAGAGGCAGATATTCTTACTTCTAGGATCCGGGAACTCGAGACCCAGTTGGAAAGAGAGAAAGAAGAGTGTAGGAGGTAGTCACTGCATTATTGGCTACAGTAAATTCTTTTATTTTGATATTTGCTTGAAATCGTGTGACGTAATATTCATTGTAGGCTTGTCCTCTTCCGCTAATGTGTCCTTCTAATGTCAGGATTACTTCGAGCGTCAAGAAATTTGTGAAAGAATATAATCGTTTCTTGAGGGCACAAGAAGATGTAAAGAGGCAAGGAACTTCTTTCCTTTCTTTTCTTTAAGTTTGTGTTTGTCGGAGAAGCGCCAAGAATGACTATTCATTGTATTCAATGACATATGCTTTGCCAATCCTGAAGGTCACAAGCTCGTCTCCAAAAATTGGGAAATCAACTTAGTACATATCTTACTGGAAACGGAGGCAACGACAGGGATGCAGAGATTGATATTGTGAACAATGAAGAGAATAATGGTAGTCATCATCCGAGGACTGCTCATGATGCTCAGGATGAGTTGCAAAATGCTTCTTCCTTTACCAGAAAAAGGCATCAGGTGGATCAAGCTACTCCTAAAGAACCCCTTGAAGATGGTAAAATTTTCTGTATCTTTATATCTTCATTTTAACATGTTCCATAGCTATTACATCATGGGCAATCTACACAAGACCAGTGCATTCGTGGAAAATGGAACTTTTCTTTTTAGCATTCATATGCAGTTATAAATTATCCAAGGTTAGGTAGAGTAAGACGAGTGATCACCAATTTCTGGTGTTGCATTCTTAATGTTGCTAATCATGTTACCAGCTTCAGCAATGTTAACTGGAGGTGGAGAAGAAAAGGTGGAGAATTCGAGGCTGAGCAGGCGTTCTCGTTGGACTATGGATGATTCCAAATTGAGTTCTGAAAAGGAAACTACAGGGTGGGTCAGTGAAGACGCGATCAATGAGCCCTCACTCAAGGAAGACAAACGGAAACGTCGGAGGTTTTCTTCTGCCTACAACCCTAATGAAAGGAATAATGCTCTTCTTGTATTGATTTGTGATGTAGAGTAATAATATATACAAGAGATTGGTGCTACATCGAAGGGATTACAAAGGAAAAGGAATAAATTTGTTACAGATTATAAGCAATTATATAGATATGATACAACCGAATATTATAATTGATTGAGTCAATGATTTTCTTCCTTTACGCCCCCATAAGATTGGGATTGAGACACTGATCTTGAGTCGTAGATCCTCGAAACGACCCTTTCTCTGAATCTTCCACGGTCTGATCGATATGAGAATTTGTACCCTTTTATAGAAAGGGGACAATTCCGACACGAGAAAGGTTTGAACTATATGTAATTTTGCAGACAAAGGGAGCTGGGTCGGGGCTGGTAATGCCACCAACGAGCATGGCGGCTCACGCAGTTGACGAAGTGACAGAAGTCGAAGAGGAAAATCCCGAAGCAACAAAAACAGTTGCAGCTAACGCTGAAGAAAAAACGAGAGGCGATTCCAGTGCACATTCACAGGTCCCGATTTTCTCATATTCTTGATGATGTTTTTTTAGAGAGATTTTGGTCGTTTTTAGATTCTGAGATCGGTATCTGAATGCTCCAGGAAGAAAGCTAGGATATATATATATATA